ACACGCGACTATTGTGGCGGATGGCGGGAGGGGGGAGGCGGACGGGGGAGCGGGCGGAGCGGAAGGCGGAGCGATCGGGAGAATCGTGGCGTTGCTGGGATCGAAAGACGTGAAGATGCGCCGCCAGGTGGGGGGTGCGGGGAGGGCGGAAGGATGGGGGGAAGCGGGAGGGTGGGGCCTGGAGGGGAGACTAGGGGGAATTGGTGGCGATAGTAGTGTGTTCAAATTAATCTGCCAACCTCGGTCCTCCTCTCTCTCACCCCTGCATGCCCCATCCGCTCCCTCCCCACATCCTCTCCTCTCTCCCTCTTCTCCCCATGCGCTCTCTCCCTGTGCAGGTGTGCGTGTGTTTGTCGCAAATCGTGAAACACTCCGAAGCACTCGCCATCGTAAGCCCTCCCTCCCCTCACGCTCTCCTCCTCCTCCTCCTCCTCCTCCTCCTCCTCCTCCTCCTCCTCCTCCTCCTCCTCCTCCTCCTCCTCCTCCTCCTCCTCCTCCTCCTCCTCCTCCTCCTCCTCCTCCTAATCCTCCTACCCCACCCCCACACCCTCCCCTCTCCCCCTTCTGAAGCATTGCAACATACACACCATGCTTCGCGCTCTCTCTTGCTTTACATGCACAACGCTCCCCCATTCTCGCGCTCTTGTCATCCCCAACGCGTTCGCCACTTCTCACACTCTCTCTCATTCCCGTTTCTCCCCATGCCTTCCATTCCTCCCTCCCCAATTCCCCCTTCCCCTCCCCTCCCCTTCCCCTTCCCCCCCCCAGCGCGTGGCGTGCGCGGAGGGCATATCGCGCCTATTCCTCTGCCTGCACGACTCCGACCAGGCGCTCCGGCGCAACGCCGCCTTCGCCATGCGCGAGATCGCGCGCAAGTCGCCCGCCGCCGCGGACCGCCTCATACACCTGGGCGCAATCGGCCCCGTTATAGACGCCGTTCTTACAGAGGAGGGCGGCGCGGGTTCCGCGCGCCTGGCGGTCGTGCAGGCGCTGGGGCACCTCGCGGGCGCGGGGGGGGAGGGCGCGCTGGCTATAGTGGCGTCTGAGGGGGTGGCGCCGCTTAAGGAGCTGCTGATTCAGGCTGACGTGGAGGAGAGTGTGCGTGGCGCGTGCGCATGGGCGCTGAGTCAGATCGGGCGGCATAGCTCGGCGCATGTGAAGGCTGTGGCGGATTCTGGAGCGTTGATCGACATGGTGACGGTGGCTACCGTTGATCTCGCACATGCTGCTTCTGGTGCCAGCAACGCTGCTGGTGGCGCCGCTGCTGCTTCGCTGGCAGCAGTAGAGGCGCGCACGAGAATAGTGAGGGCTTTAAAAGACCTAGTTAGTGGGGTGGGCGAGCTCGAGTCGCTAGACTCGCTGCTACAGTGGACCACTCTCCCCGAAGGGGTGCTAGAAGCGGTGCTTCTGCGAATCTTCCACGTCCTTAATAGCAGCAGCAACGCCTGCCGCTCCACCTTCGTCCAATCGCGAGGCTTCGCGAAGCTGCAGAGGTTGCATGAGGAGGCAGAGGCGAGAAGAGCGGCGGCTAAGGCGGCGGGTGGAGAGGGAGGAATGGGAGGAGCGGCTTGTGTGCATAATGGGGTGGACTTTAACGCGGTTTACGACCATATCGCAATGATCAACACGTTCTTCCCGTTTGAGGTCTCTGTAACGTACCCGCCGGAGTACCAGCAGCGGCTACTGGAGAAGCTTACAGCGAGTATGAACGCGGACTCGTCTGGGTCTGGGTCCCCGGGAAAGAAGGGCAAGGGGAAGCTTCCGAGGCTGAAGATAGGCAGGGGGGGGTACCTGGTGGGGAAGGGCGGGTGGGAGGAGGCGGAGCTGTCGCCTGGGGAGAGTGAGGAGGAGGTGGGGAAGCGCCTGGGGATGGCGGACCTGGTCGGGGGGAGGAAGCCGCATGGGATGGCGGGGGAAGCGGGGGAAGCGGGGGAGGCGGAGAGGAGTGGGGAAGGGGTGGTAGGAGAGGCGGCGGTGGTGGAAGAGAGGAGCGGGGAGAGCGGAGCTGTGTTGGCAGGTGAAGGAGGGGCGAGTGCGGATTCGGGGGAGAGGAGAGGAGAGGCGTCGTTAGAAGCAGTCTCAGGCTCAACTGCAGCATCTGCACCACCCGCCCCGCCAGCAGCAGCGTCAGAGTCGCCACCAGCAGCAGCACCGCCAGCGCCACCTGATCCGCCTGCTGCTCCTCCTCCCGCTCCCCCTGCTGCTCCCCCGCCTGCCCCACCTGCTCCCCCTCCGTCCGCCCCTCCAGCCCCGCCTCCCCCCCCACCTCCTGCAGCAGACGCTTCAGTGCCTCCCCCTCCTCCTGCCCCTGCTCCTCCTGATCCTCCTTCTCCTCCTCCTCCCCCTGCTCCACCTGCCCCTCCTGCCCCTCCGCCCCCTGCTCAATCCGCCCCGCCCCCACCTCCCCCGCCCCCTCCTCCCCCTCCACCACCACCACCGCCTGCCTTCGACCCTCCCCCTCCCCCTCCACCCCCGCCCGCCCCTGAGCCAGCAGCACAGGCGGGAAAAATCCCACCCCCACCCCCTCCACCTCCTCCCCCTCCCCTCCCGGGCAGCTTCTACTAGAGCAGCAGGCTGATGGGCTGTGAGACGCAGCAGTGGCACTGGCACGGACAGGGGGTGAGGCAGGGGCAGGCCGCAGAGATAACAGTGGCAGAGGGAGAGGAGGCATTGCCAGGGGCAGTGGCCGTGGTGGTGGGGAGATGTTGGCGTTGGGGTAGTGGCAATCCCATACCTGCTGCAGGAGGGTGGGAATAAGTGTGCCTGTAAACTGTGTGAGGGATATCCACTACCCACATGGGTGTGCAGCAGGCAGCAGCATGCTCCAGCAGGGGGCACGCTGTGAAGCACCTGGGGCTAACGTTCTCTCTTTCCTCAACTCAAGAAGCTTCAGGCGGACCTGCGATGCTGCTGCAGCAGGCGCGCTGTGAGGTGACATGTACTGGCATGCAGCCGGGGAGACCTGGCCCTGGGCTGCAGCGAGTGAGTGGGAGCTGGCGGCTGTGGCTCTAGTGTTCACACCACATCCTCGTGAAAAGCTCATGTACTGGTGCGATGCTGAAAGGGTGGTGGTGTGGTGAACGGTGGTGAACGGTTGTGTTGTCGCCAAAACGAAGGGCGAGGGAGGAAGCAGTCTCTTGCTGCATGGTGGAACTGACAGGCAGTGGCAGTGAAGGCGAGAGTCCGAGCCGAGTGTGTGGATCGTAGGGGCAGCATCATATGCGTCTGATTGTGTTGCTTCTGACGCGTTTTGCGGCGCTTCTAGTGCACGAGTGTAGACTGTAGAAAAGTAGCTGGTTGTAGGGTGTAGGTGCTATATTCGCTTTATTATGTTGTAGGGTCAGTGCCTCCTTAGGCAGTGGTAGCTTGCAGGAAGTTATGATTTATTTCATGTGTTGCTAGGTTATGTAGTTTATTATTGTAATAATGATTATATTATTGTGCTTTCATTTCTGTAAGTGACTTTTGTGTTGAATAAACTAGCGTCCCTAGCCAAATAGTTAAAGCCCATCCGTAAGCAATGCCTTATCAGCACATATGGTTATGGCATAGATGTACACAGCATGGCATGGCAATGCAGTGGCACCATTAGTTGCCAGCAGTACCGCCTGAGGTGCAACGTTTGGGACATCTCTTGAGAGGCAGCAAGTGCAGCAGCACAGTCAGCCCTTAATAGTACTGCTTGATTGTTTGTTCTGAGAAGGTTCCGAAGTCCATACCCGGTTGCCATGGCACCAACTCCTGCAGGGATTGTAGTGAAGGGAGGGGTATGCACAGGACGGGAGAGAGCGGAGAGGTGTGAAGGGTGCGAGGTGTGAGTTGAGAGGCATGAGAGTGAGAGGTGTGGGCAGTGGTGTGATGCGGTGCTAGATTGAACTGGAGAGTGTTGGGGCTTGTCTGATGCAGATGACCAATACGAAAGCTAGGAACAGGAGAGTGTGTGAGGTGACTAGTGACAGCTTTTGTGGTGGGTCAAAGAATGCGGATGGATGGTGAAAAGAGTGCAAGTAGGAAAATGCACGATGGACAGTGATGGGCGGCTGTGCGACCCACCTCGGGTGTGAGAGAGCTTCCGGGAGGCATGTCGAGAGGCTCGTTCCTGGGTGGGGAGGGCGGGGAGAATGTGGGGAAGTGAGAGTCGGAGAGATGGATTGAGAGGGAGAGCGTGGGAGGGAATGGTGGCAAATCATATCGAAATGAGCACGTGGTATGATTTCATTGATGGTAGTGCGGGGCCAATGTTGCCGGTAGATGTCAGCGTGTGAAGAGTTGGGCGGGTGGGGCCAGAGAGAGCGTAGAGTAGAGTGTGCAGATGTTGGCAGAACAAGAAACGGATGTGCAGCACTATGCATGCTTGTGACACGTACCAAGAAGGCTGATGGACGGACGAGGGCAGCACGGCGATTGCGATTGGTTGGCGCAGCGATGGTGGATGGCATGGGCATGACGATGCAACACGGGAGACGGAATGAGAAGGATAGTTGAGCGAAAAAGAGTGGTGGAAAAACGGGAATGGGGGTGGTGCGAGTGATGGAGGTTGTAAGAGAGATGGCATGTGCAACAAGGATGAGGGCGGGCACATGATTAGTGCTAAAAACATTTTTAATAAGCATGGCCGTTCCACATGCACGAACAGTACGTAACTGCATGAATAGTCCGAAGAGTGGCAGTACGAACCTGCATGAACAGTACGAACCTGCATGAACAGTACGAACCTGCATGAACACTGCTAATGTGGCGCGAGAAACGCCAACCGATGCCGGCCCTTTGGGTGCCTGAGTGCATGCATGGCATGGGAGGGATGTTTGGGTATGGCATGGAAAGGTTGTGCATGCATGGCATGGCATGGCATGGCAGGGGCGGGTGGGTATGGCATAGAAGGACTGGTGAGTATGACATGGCAGGATGAACATGGATTGGAGTGGGGTGTTTCAGATGGGAGGCCATGGCACAGTGCTGATTGGATGGTGGTAATTAATGAAGCAAAAAGAGGAGTGAAATCAATCTGAGTGTGAGGAGAGAATTTGTGAGTGATGAGGCGGGGCGGGTGGCTGGTGAAGAGGGAGAGACAGAGGCAGAGGCGGCGTAAGTGGGGAGTGGTAACAGAACGAGTACAGGGAGAGGCAGAGGCAAAGTACCGCAACGCAGTGGGGCGTGGCAGCTAGAAGTCCCCCCGACTGGATGGACATGGCGTGACCCACTTGAAACGCTATGCACCCCTCTGGTATGCGCGCCTGGTGCACATGCATGCATACATTGGGATGCATGGGAATGTATGGGGGGATCATGGGGAACATGATGAGGCATGGAGATACAGCCAGCAGCATGTCTACATGAATGGTAACTTTACGACAAGAGAAAAGGTTCAACTGTCACAGAGAATACCAGAACTGTGTGTGCTTATTGGGCCTGAACTTGGTGCCATTTGCTGGTTACCACGTGGCGCTGCTTCGTGTAACACACACGCACCTGCACAATCTGCCCGTCCCTGGTTCGGATGTAGAGGCCACACGAGGGGTCCAGGTCGCTGCCCTCCACCGCCTCCCCTCCCCTCCAGAACTGCGCCCTCGTCAGGCCTGACATAGATACAAGCAGGCAGGGAGGAAGGACTGAGTGAGGGAGGGACGAGTGTGTGATCGAGGGAGGGAGAGAGCGAGTGAGTGAATGAGGCGGGCACAAGAGAGGTACTTGCGTGGGAGCAAGCAGGAGCGCAGCTTGGGAAGAAGCACAGAGAGCAAAAGCACCTGCCTGTGAGGGAGCCATGGTCCAGGTGCCAGCCACACCATGACGACACATCCGCATCTGCCACAGCCGTTAGACTCTCTGAAGCAGACGCGCCCCCATCGCCCCCATTGCCTGCACATGCCACTGCCTCCTCGTCCCGTGACGCCCTGCTGCTATCAGCAGGCAATTCTCCCACTCCCTCTCCCTCTCGCTCTGCCTGTGCTGCTGGCGCCGCGGGTGGGGGCTGCTGCGGTGGCAGTTAGAGCAGCAGGCGGGCCTTGTGGCACGGAGACTGCTCCACCACTCGCAGCAGCTTGCCGGGGGGCACGTGAGGGTTCCTGCTGTGCACTGGGATAGGGTGGTCGTGTGGTGAGAGGATATTTAGTCGACTCAAAAAGCAGGCGGGCCTTGTGGCACGGGGACTGCTCCACCACTCGCAGCAGCTTGCCCGCGGGCACGTGGGGGTTCCTTCTGTGCACTGCCATCGGGTGGTGGTGGCGTGGAGAGGGGTGGCAGGCTGAAAAGGGTTCCACTTTGATAGTCCATTTTTTAGGCGCCTCAAAAATAGACTCCTCCACCACTCACAGGAGCTAGCCCGAGGACCCAAGAGGGTTTCTGTTGTAAAATGGCTTAGGGATGGTGGTGGTGGTGTGGAGAGGGGTGAAAGGCTGAACAAGGGTTCCACACTAAGAATGTCAAATGTGACGTTTGAAAGAAAGGAAGGGAAGTAACTCACGTAAGATAGCAGCATTTCGAAGGCTCATGGCAGGCATCACAGGGAAGGCTCACCGTAGGCATCACAGGGAAGGTTCACCGTCGGCATCACAGGGAAGGCTCACCGTCGGCATCACAGGGAAGGCTCACCGTCGGCATCACAGGGAAGGCTCACCGTCGGCATCACAGGGAAGGCTCACCATCGGCATCACAGGGAAGGCTCACCGTTGGCATCACAGGGAAGGCTCACCGTCGGCATCACAGGGAAGGCTCACCGTCGGCATCACAGGGAAGGCTCACCGTCGGCATCACAGTGTTGCAGCAGCTGCTTGCCAACGTCCACTATCATCCGCCCCAGCACCTTGAAGGCTGACAGGCGCACGGCAGAGCAGGGGGACGTGAGAGCGAGATTCAGATTAGTGTTACGATGTGATGTGATGTGATGTGACTATACCAAGTCAGAGTGACAAGGTCGGGAGAAGCTGACGTGGCTAGGCGCCAGCTCACCTGGTTCCAGCTCCGGGAGGTCTTGGGAGGGCCATACGTTGGGGCGACAGTAGGTGGGGAACCTGTGTGCAGGGCATGGGCATGTGCATGTGCATGAGTGCATGTACATGAGTATGTAGTGCATGTGCATGAGTGCATGTACATGAGTATGTAGTGCATGTGCATGAGTGCATGTACATGAGTATGTAGTGCATGTGCATGAGTGCATGTACATGAGTATGTAGTGCATGTGCATGAGTGCATGTACATGAGTATGTAGTGCATGTGCATGAGTGCATGTACATGAGTATGTAGTGCATGTGCATGAGTGCATGTACATGAGTATGTAGTGCATGTGCATGAGTGCATGTACATGAGTATGTAGTGCATGTGCATGAGTGCATGTACATGAGTATGTAGTGCATGTGCATGAGTGCATGTACATGAGTATGTAGTGCATGTGCATGAGTGCATGTACATGAGTATGTAGTGCATGTGCATGAGTGCATGTACATGAGTATGTAGTGCATGTGCATGAGTGCATGTACATGAGTATGTAGTGCATGTGCATGAGTGCATGTACATGAGTATGTAGTGCATGTGCAGACGAATTCCCATATGCACATGCAGGTGCACAAGCTATGAATGAAACCCACGGCAGCTCCCTCTGGGGGGTTGTGAGAGGGTGAGGCGCCTCTGCTCGGAGAGGTTGTGAGAGGGCGAGGCGCCTCTGCTCGGAGGGGTTGTGAGAGGGCGAGGCGCCTCTGCTCGGAGGGGTTGTGAGAGGGCGATGCGCCTCTGCTCGGAGGGGTTGTGACGCGCGCGTGGACCAAGGCGCGCGCGTGGACCAAGGCGCGCGCGTGGACCAAGGCACGTGCGTGGACCAAGGCGCGCGCGTGGACCAAGGCGCGCGCGTGGACCAAGGCGCGCGCATGGACCAAGTCGCGCGCGTGGACCAGGGCGTGCGCGTGGACCAAGGCGCGCGCGTGGACCAGGGCGTGCGCGTGGACCAAGGCGCGCGCGTGGACCAAGGCGCCTCTGCTCTGGGGGGTTGTGAGGAAAAGGCGCCTCTGCTCTGGGGGGTTGTGAGGAAAAGGCGCCTCTGCTCTGGGGGGTTGTGAGGAGAAGGCGCCTCTGCTCTGGGGGGTTGTGAGGAGAAGGCGCCTCTGCTCTGGGGGGTTGTGAGGAGAAGGCGCCTCTGCTCTGGGGGGTTGTCAGGAGAAGGCGCCTCTGCTCTGGGGGGTTGTGAGAGGCACCCTCACAACAGGCTTGCTTCACCTCACCTGCGTATAAGCTCGAGATCGGTGGTGGGCGTGTCAGTGAGCGGGTTGGCATAGAAGGACGCCTTGAGTGAGTCCCTCCTGCCTGCCTCCACCGACTCCTTGCCCTCGCTCCACCCAAAGCTGTACCTGCCGTGCATCGTGCACGTGTGCAATCGAAGCAAGTGCATGTGGCATGTTGTGAGTTGCATGAAACACGAGGGTTTGGAGAAAAGGATTAGCCACGGCACTTACTTGCTGTCTGGGTCTTCAATGCGTCTCTTGGCCTCTTCTGGGAGCTCCCCAAGCCTGGACACGTGCACACGCCCATGGTCATGCACGCACCAACACAGTGATGCACTGTCACGCACAGGCATCAACTGAAGTGTGGTTTGGACGAGTTGGAACAATGTGACACTGCTGGGAATTATCAGCGTACAAACCTTAATGCGAGCGGAAGAAGCCGTTCCCTTGCCTCAGGATAGCCGGGAACCTGAAAACAGACCACGCTACTCTTCAGCCGACTTATTTTCCTTTCTTGTTACACAACGAAGAAACACAGCACTAGACTGTAGCTCACAACGCATGTCTACTCGCAGCAAGTTCTCTTACATCGGAAACAGCAATGATCCCCAGACCACCAGGCCCGAAAGCAGCTTCGATTTGAGCGGAGAGATCGTTGCCTTCCTGATTGCAATCCAACGGTCAGGCAGAAACGAGAGGTGAGTCACGACAAGTGAGGAAGTGGTTCCGAACCGCGGGAAATAACATGTTAACTACAAGTGTTTTCTTGCTGATGCTTCTTAAACAAACACTACGAGGGATTCAGCGACGCTACGCGACCGCGATGTGTGCGTGAGGGACATTCTAAGGCACCGACGACGGCGTGCTGGCGTCATCGGAACGGGTGCTAAATGCCAAGCTGACATAACTGAGACGACGCGACGCGACTGCCTACTAGTGACAGACCTTAAGATCCGCGAAGCTCACTCGCACCACCTCCATTGTACCCCCTGCTGCTCGCTTCGACCCGAGCTGTTAGCTTCACGAAAGGAACCAGCGCTGAGAGTAGCGGAAAGCACGATCAGTAAGACCGATACGCGAAGTGGAAACAAACGAGTGTGGAGGTCAAGCAGCTAAGAGTGTCGCGAAATGTGTCGAAGGTTGACCAGGAAAGCCACGGAGGCTCACAGAATATGATAGGATGTCCAGAGTGTGGTTCAGGCTGCTAGAGAAATTTGAACATGGACATTTGAACGCTACAGAAGATGATTCTTGCATTGCAACAATGCTCAAATTTCACCACAGCCAAGGAAGCCTTGGGATTTGTGCAGCCAGCGTGAGCATGAAGATTCCAGCAGCGACAACTGGCGAAAGATTCTGCGAACAACGTATGGGTATTTTTGGTGTGAAGCTGCAACGTTCCGCAACACTGTTCGTAGAACTGGTTTGAGCGAAATATGGTCGGAAAGCGAGTCACACAGTAGGAGTACAATCCGTAAATGGATGATGGTCATGCATGCATCTGGTCGCACCCCATTTTCACTAATTATCAACAAATATAATTTGTCCTCGGCAGTCCCAGTGCTGCTGATAGTCCCAAGGGTAGAGGAATCAGGACTAACATCAGCCTGTTTCTGATAGTTCCTGGTTGCTCACCAATGGCTCTGTCGCTGCAAGCCAGCTCCGCCGTTCCGCTGCGCGCAGCATTCAGGCAGGAAACCGCGCGCGATGCCACGCCAGCAAGCGTGTCTTTCGTTCTGCGAGTTGCAACGACCGTCGCGAGCCCTTCGTGCGATCGTCGAGGAAAGTTGACCGCGCAGCGACGACAATGGCGGTCGCTGAAGGTGCGTGCGACGTTGGTAATGCATAAGCGCACATGGTCGCGAATAAGCAGAGTGCGGGGAAGGTTTCATTCAGCACAAGCCCATTAACACAGCCCACAGGCGTTACAAGCAAACTCTTAGTCTTCTTTCTTGCGCTCGTCTGGCTTATAGTCGCAGTCAGTTCCCCAGTGCACCTGTTTCCATCGTGCCTCCTCGCCTCCTCGTGCTCGCTGTTACCTTCCTACCCGTGACTTTCGCCGCAGGTTGCGGCGTCATCCGCGGCAACGACGGCAGAGCCCGCTGTGGAGGAGTCGACGGTGCTGCGTGTGATTATATCGGGGGCTCCAGCCTCCGGAAAGGGCACACAATGCGAGGAAATCGTCAAGAAGGTTCGTTCAATGGAAGGGGCCGGAACGGATTACACCGTAAGCTGTTGGAAGGAGTGGAACAACGGAGGCATTTGGCAGTACCGATGCGCCACCCCTTGCCTGTTCAGTCGCTCCCGCTGCTCAATCCCATGAAGATCCTGCGGTGCTGCTCCCTTCCCCCCACCGCCACTACCACCACTACTTCACGTCCTCACAAGGGACTGGTGTCATTCAGGAAAGGTGCCTGCCTGCTACATGACCTGTTTCCCCGTGTTCGTTCGTGCATCCTTGTCATCCCGCACCCCTCCCGACTGCCAGTACGGGCTGGCGCGCATCTCAACTGGCGACCTGCGCGGGTTAACTCTCTGGCAACTCTCCTGTCTCATTTCTCCTTGTTTCTGCCCCCTTATCGCCTCCCACCCCTCTCCACCCCTCCACGCCACCAGTACGGCTTGGCGCACATCTCAACGGGCGACCTGCTGCGTGACGAGGTGGCGCGCGGCACGGAGAACGGCAGGCAGGCCAAGGCGTTCATGGACGCGGGGCAGCTCGTGCCAGATGACCTCGTCATCAGCGTGAGTGGGATAAGCTGATGTGTTGTGGTGCTTGCAAGGAGGCGAGGCTGGTTGCTGGGGACGTGCTGTGAGGCGATGGGCTGCACTGCAGGTGACTGGTATGGCGATGGGCTGCACTGCAGGTGACTGGTATGGCGATGGGCTGCACTGCAGGTGACTGGTATGGTGCATGGCGGTCCTGTCTGTCGTCCCACACTCCCTATTCCCCCATCTCCCACTCCCCTCCGTCTCATCTCCTAAACCCCCCCCCCCCTCCCTCCTGGCAGATGGTGCGGGAGTGTCTGTCCCAGCCGGACGCGCGGAGCAAGGGGTGGTTGTTGGATGGCTTTCCGCGCTCGCCCGCACAGGCACAGGCGCTCATGGACTCCGGGGTGGTGCCCGACGTCTTCCTGCTGCTGCAGGTGCGTTGGGGCTTGATTCGCTATTCATTCTTGAGTGCCAACTACTTTTGAGGTGACTCGATAGGCACAGGCGCACTCATGGGCGGAGGATGTCATGCCTGACGTCTTTCTGCTGCTGCAGGTGCGCTGTGTGTCGTCGTCCATGGATGTGCGCCCACGTGTGCTGCCCGCTCCCTCCATCCTGCATCTTCCTTCCTTCCTGTTATCTCCATGGTGGTGGGATGGTAATGACGCCATTCGCCATTCGCCTTGCTTCCCTGCCTCCCTGCCTCCGTGTCTCCACTCCACAGGTGCCGGACGGCATTCTGGTGGACAGGGTGGTGGGGCGCAGGCTAGACCCACACACCAACCGCATCTACCACCTCACCTTCTCCCCGCCTGAAAGCGAGGAGGTTCGAGCACGGCTCATCCAGCGCTCCGACGACACCGAGGAGAAGGTACGTGCCATGCTACACGGTACTAGGTAGCATCGCTTGCTTGCACGGCTCTTAGATTGTATATTTTTTAAGAATTCTCAAAAGTATATCTTGTCAACACCCACTCACACTTTTCCCCACCACTCCAAATTACCTTCACACACCTTCCTGCTTCTCACGCTTGCTTCGTTGCCTAATCCTCTTTGCCCCTCTTTTTTCACATCCACCACACCAACTCCCCTCCACCACTCAGGCACTAGCGCGAGTGGAGGTATACAAGCAGCATGTGACGCATGTGGTGAACGCATACAGGGAGAAATTGGTGGAGGTACGCCGCGTGTCAGCTGGGGGGAGGGAAAATGGATGGAGGAAGGTGGGTTGTCATGAGTGGGTAAAATTGAACGTGTTGGGTTGGATCACCCCTTCCTCCCAAATCCTCTTCATCCTGCCCATATTCTCTTCCTCCCCTACCCCTGTCTCCCAAATCCTTTTCACCCTGCCCTCTTCCCTCTACCCCCTTGCCCCTGCCCCTCTTCCCTCTACCCTCTTCCTCTTTCCCACTTCCCCTACCCTCATCGCCCTTTCCTCATCGAATGCAGGTGAACGGGCATCGAGGCAAGCACGAGGTGTTTGCTGACATCAGCAGCGCTCTTGACAAGGCCAGGGCAGACAAGGTAGGGTCACCAACGAAGCATTCTCGTGCATCTCCCCACAGTCCACGAAGCACCCTACAAACCGTTCTCACCCTCTGTCTGCCACTCCTCCGGCCAACCAGAAACCACCTTTTCCCTTTTTTCCCACCCTGTTGCACCCGTCCCCTTGTTAATCCTCCCACCTGCGCTCCTCCCTTGCTTCTCCCCCACCTCTGCTTGAACCTTGTGTCTCCCCTCCCCCCGTGCACCCGTGCACTTGTGCGCCTGTGCATGCAGCAGACAGCAGCACCAGCGGCGGAAGAAGGCACATGGAGGGGCATGCCGACGCGGCTGAATGACATCCCGCACAGCCGGGAGATTCGTCAGTACTTTTATGACGATGCCTGCTCCGCTGCTGTCAATGCCGTGGCCGCTGGGAAACAGCGCATCAAGGTGGGTGGGATGAGGTGCTTTTGAGTCGACTAAGAAGTCACATTGGCTGCTGAACGACATCCCACACAGCCGGAAGATCCGGCAGTACTTTTATGATGACGCCTGCTCCGCTGCTGTCAATGCCGTGGCGGCTGGCAAGCAGAGGATCAAGGTGGGGTGGGGGGACAGTGCATGGCACGGCTGGCATCTTGCATTTCGCTTGGTGTAACATGTGGTGGCCCTATTCTGATGGCAATACAACGTGCAGACATAGAATAGTGCATGGAAGCGCTACTGTGATGATTTACTGATTGCCAACCCCATTCCACCCCCCTGTGCTCTTGCATCATCCTGCTTGTGCCATGGATGGGTATGTGGTGTGTGCTCGGTGTATGCCTGAATGGCCATACCATGTTGTGGGATGTGGGTGTGTGTGCTTATGATGATGGGGTGCATATGAGGGTGGGAGGTGGGGGCACTCTGTGCCTGTGTGTGCGGTGTGTGAGTGTAC